ACAGCACCCAAAATCTTCGTGATCTCTTTGACGACTTTCTGCCAAGTCATGTGCTGTCCACCTCGTGGTTTGCGCCATCCTGAAGGAGGCATGGAGAACAACACTCGTCTCGGTAGACGGTATTTCGGCATGCGTAGCACTGGTTTGATCGTGGGCACGGCGCTGTCAAGCGATTTCCGCTGTTCCGGAAATTCGTACTGCAAAGGAACAGCCTGTGATCGGCACACATCTGAAGTGACCGGCCTCCGTTGTCCGTGCGTCTCGTGTCCAAACCAAGACGACCACCCAATCGGGCCTCAGCAGCGCTTAGTCTACCTACCTGGGCGTTCATATCACCCGCAACCACAACTATATCTGAGCTTTTAGCCTGCTGTAGAAGGGCACCTAGAGCGTCATAGAAACTGTGTTTGGCAGATTCAGAGCTACAGTCAGTTGGGGCGTATGCAGACACAATAAGCAGGGTGCGATGAACCTCACTTTCTCTAGACTCTCTCACCGACGTTGCCAAACGAACCGCAGAGATGCTTCCGCTCGTTCGCTCAATATAATATCCACCCCAGCATATCCAGCTGCAGCGGCCTCTACATCACCAGAGGTGCGCAGTCGGAACCTGGATGAGAGCGACGGGGCAGTCAGTTCAATCACAGTACTTGCGTCCTGCGTCCTTGTTTCTGACAGAAAACATACATCAATACAGAGGGAGTCCAGCGTATGCGCAGGAGCCGCCTGTTGACCAGCATGTTTCAGTGTGCGAACATTGAAGGTGGCTAAGTAGACAGGCTTTCGGGGTTTGAAAACAGACTTCGAAATGTTTAGGGTTGTAACTAAACTCGGACGTGCAGAAGATGCAGCTGAGTGTGATGCAAGGCGAGCAAAACGGTGAGTCCTAGAGCTGGGACCTGCGGAGAAAGTATTCAAATTTGGGCTGGGGAGGGTGGAAGACGGAAAACGTGAAAGTGTAAGAAGGGAGGCGTCAGCAGTAGCATTCTTTCGCTTACCCGCCCTGCTGTATGCAGCAAGTAAGGCGACCCGGCTGATGGCACCACGCGACGGCCGATGTGGCATGAGAGTATTGTTAGTTGTTAGGTCATGGTTGTACGAGGGCTGGGATACTTCCAGGTCGCCCAACCCTTGACAGGAGGACGATTAGGGTTCTCAACCAAAGCCTTTGACTCAAAAGCCTAACCGCAAGGCAACTGTGTTCGGCTGGAAATGCAAGTACATTACCATTTTTTACGGAACACGTCGCCATACATGTTCCAACCCGCAACCTGGAGGGCCAGGAGACTCCCAGTAAACACGTCACCGCGGCACCACCGGTGGCAAGAGGTGACAAATAGGGGTGGCATGTTACGCTTGCCACCGATGGCATCACCGGTGGCAACCCAAAAATTTCGTGATATATTTAATCGGTGGTGCATTCAAACAAATCGGTTTCAAAAATTACTTCGTAAATAGAGCTCCAGGATCCAGAGTATCTTGTTATATATGTTTTCAGAAGGCTTTTACGCAACAAATGATATGTCTGGCTTGTATTTACCAACAAAATCAGTGGCAAAGTTGGCCACCTTTGGCCACCGGTGGTACTGTGTTTACTGGGCTGTGTTCGTCGACCCAATTGATTGTAAGAGGCTGACCAGGCACGAAGGCGCAGGGAGTAGGGCATTGCCGCCTCACTCTTAGTGCAGCTGCACACAGTAGGTGCCTTTTGAGTACTGAATAATGCGCCGGCGGTCACGGTCAACCGTTGGGCGATCGGAGTGTGCAGTTTTTAGAACCGACCTTTTTTAACCCGTCCGAAAAGAACGTTCAGCTGTAGCACCCTTTCGGTGCCTAACTGTCATACAACCAGAAGGAAGCACGAGGGCTGGAATGCTGTCAGATTGCCCAAGCCTACATAGGGGAAGTCGAGAGGTAGCGGTTGGGCTCGAACCACGGACCTTCCGGGCTCTTTGGTTTTAAAAGTATCTCGACTGTATTGAATAATGCGCCCGTGGCCATGGTCAATCGTTAGGCGACTGGAGTGGGCGGTTTTTAGGGTCGACGTTTTCTAACCCGTCCTCTCTCGACGGACGAAGGCGGCATCGCTGCTTCCATAAATATGGACACGCTGGTCGCCTGGCGGGGAAACACCTAACTACCTTCACACTCCTATCGCAAAGGAAAGTACGACTTTACCTCCAGATCACCTCTTAGTACGATTACTCGCAGTACAGAGACTCGCTGTTCTTCATAAGGCTGTTTTCTGTCAGACTTCCTGGTATGGTTGAAACTTTAGGAACTTGTAGCACTTGTAAACTGCTCTTTTTCATGCTCAGTATCATCTTCTTTTTCCCCATCATTATCAGTCACATCGCTGTACAAAAGTTTGCTTTACGGAAATACAACCGCTACCGCCCGCTTGTTGGCTCCAACGTGACTTTGAGACTTTTGCTGAGTTACTGTTGTTGTGACCACTGGTTGGTTATATTTGGCCGCTGCTAACACTAAACGTGAACAAACATTTCAGCTGCAAACACTGGACTAGTATATTCACACTTGTGGATTAATATTTCAATCACCGGAGATCTGGAATACCAGGAAGATAGAACTATTCTTGGTGTGGTGGTTCAACGAAATACGGAACTACGGAATCTCCTATTTTGAACTGTGAGTCAAGATTTACTTGGATTCCTTTTCCTTGTGACTTTGTATTTGGCTTACATTGGTAATTGTTCTGTTCATTAGAGACTCCATAGGGTCATTAACCACTACAAACTGAGTTCCAGCAAGTACAGCCCTTAGGAGCATTGCAGCACTGAAGTCCGATCACCACGACAGGGTGGCAGCTTTGGGTTAAGTCTTGTTCCTCTGTCTGTATCATTAGGCGTTACATCCGCCTTTCATCTGTGTCCCCTTCTACGTCGACAGAAACACTTGGCTACCCTTGCGAGCTATAACGTTTCAAATAGCTCTCCGTTCAAAGGAGTGACAACCCTGGGTGGCTTCTGAGTGATGGTCTTTCCAAGGTACCCACCTTCAGGGCGACAACCAAACGCTTTTTATTGGGCCAGGTAGCCCCATCTTATCAATGAAAATTGATACGTCGGGTAGAAAACTCATCGCTTCCTGGGCTTGTTAACGAAACGTGGAAGCTTTTATTCGTCAGTCTAGTCGTACTGATAGCTGCTGTCTCCCCAGACAGGTTCCCCTGAACGAGACAAACGGTTTGTGATCTCGACAGATCTGACTGTTTCGTAGTCGGAGGTGATTCTGCATATCGGACTAACAGAACAATACAACGTCATCGAACTGGTTGGACCATCGCCTACAAGGCGTGGATATCATTACTTTATTCCCCTTACCTTCAGTGAAGAAAACTGTAGGGGCCACCACTTTCTGTGGTTAAAAAAATGGAACTGAACTGAACTTTTGCTTCCAGACTTTCTTCTTGCAGTAGAATGACAGTCTTTTGATCGTTTCTATTTTGTGCATACCGGTTTTGCAAGGATCCAGGTGTACGAAGTACGTACTTCGTACACCTGGATCCTTGCAA